TAATTAAGTACATGAAGTGGGAGCATTTAAAAGGAGAAGACAAGACTGCAAACGGGGGGTCTGACAGATCGGATATTGGGAATGGAGAGATAGTTGAGCGATGTATAGTTTTTAGTTTTGGTATGGTTAGTGTAGATCGGTGTAGAATGTGGTAGACTTTTTTGGTATGGCCTTATTGTTCAGGCATGACCACCTTTTTTTCCCAGTTCTAGTCTATCTAGTTTTTTATTTATTTTTATTTTATAGTCAGTTAGCTTTGCTTTTTTTTTCTCTTTTTTGCCTTTTCCCTCCCAATTTGATTACAAACGTTGACTTGTGGTTCCCTGGATTTGTGATCGATAATAAAATTGATTTGTTTTTCCAGGGGAATCCGATCTCTCAGGTGTTATTTTTATGTTGTGGCTTTTGGTCAAACCCTAGACATATTTGTAAGGTCATAACAATATGTATTCAATGTTTAATGATAAAAATTATCAAATAAAAACATAAATGAGCAAAAGTGGATACTGTGAAGAGTGGGACTTAAAATCATTTCAACTGGTTTAATTCAATTCAAATACTTTATTCATAAAAGCGGATAAAATATACAAAAATAAAAATTGACATTTTGTACTTGTCTCATATTTATCTTTTGATCCAAAATGCAAATTTCAGAAGTACACTGCAAAAAATAATGAATTTCACATCATTTTCCCAATACTGTTCATTTTCAAATGCACAGTATATTCTTTTCTAAAATAAATTGGAAATGATTGTTATCCTTGAATCTTTTTATATAATGTTTAGCAATGTTTAGAAGAACAGGCCTGTGGGAAAGGAACACTTATCTGTAGGTGTTTAAAGTGGAAATCAGATTTTTCCCAAAACAGGCATTTTAAATTTTTACAGATAAACAGGTCTTTTTTTTCTTTAAAATTCTATTCAATATGCATATGGACACACATATCTTCTACAGTGAAGAAGCCTGAAATGCATGTAGATATGATTGGATAACAGATGATGTCTCAATCCTGAAGAAAAGCAGATGGGTTTTTGGTATTAGCAGGAGAGATCATGCACAAATTATTTATCATGCATATGGGTCGAAGCATGAAATTATTATCATATGATGTTCCCCCAAGTAAAATGATGCTATGTATCTGCCAACCTTCTGAATCTAAACTAAGCTGTATCTAAGATACCTACTATGACACTTTCACACATCTAAGTCCCTATGAGCTTAGTTTAAGATTAATTAAAAGGTTAAGTTTATTTCTTAAAATTGTGTTGTGTTTTCATTGAAATGGGGGAGCTGTCCATGCAACAAGGTAATATTATTACTAGTCAAATATTTGTTAATTGTTTTTAATGTTATACAACTCTTTCTTTCCTTTTTATAGGATTTAGTAGTTATAAACCTTGCAGTTGTAAATAACCTAAATACTATATATTATACACTATACACTTTACATATTGAGGTTACTGAGGTCCCTCCAAACATCACTATGTAAATTGTGTTACAAAGTCTACAAGATTTCTAAACACAATAGAAGGATTCTAAGAATGCAAATGTAAAATCATTGCAGAACAATAATTAATGTACATGGAAGACACTGTTTTTGAAACTGTGAGAACTGCAGAAATTAGTGAAAATAGAAGTACTAATACTTAATATGCTTAGCTTTGGGGCCATTAGAGATGCCAGTCAGGTATTATATTGCAGCAAATGTTTTTAGTTATACTTTCAGCTGTCCTATACTGTATGTCACTCTTTATGCCATTCTTTGTCACTATTGGTCATTCTTAATTAGAATGATTGCTGTAATAATAAGTCACTTAACTGTCCTGTTTTATTTCTCTACCAAAATGTACTATGTTTATATGATATTAAAAATAGATTCATAAGAAAACTGAAATACACTCATAACCGGGTATAAGAACGTTCAGTTTATGAATTTTCGTTAATCTGAACATGAAGAATTTGTACCTTGTAATTCAATATAAGCACGACATTTCACTAATCTGAATTTAGATGTCTGAAAGTGACCAACTTTGGGCGAGAACCTTCTGTGAACATTTGAATTCAGCACCACCGAATAGCTGTTTGTTTCTGTGCGGGTGACAGACAGCGGATGTAAGGGCAGAAAGGTGGCACTGTCACTAAGGATCTGCACATGTAGTTGGAAAGTTGCCGGCTCAAATCCTGTAGTCAGCAGAGGAATCCTATTCTGTTGGGCCCCTGAGCAAGGCCTTTAACCCCTGTTGTTCTAGGGGTGCTGACCCTGTGCTTTATCTTCAAGCTTCTCTCTACCAGCCTGTTTGTCTCATGGAGAGTATCAAAACGCAGTATCAAGCTGTGTATCACGCCATTTGACGTCATACCGGAAAGTATCCGGAATCACCTTGTAAAACTGCCAGGAGGAGCCAATAAAGCTTAAATTTGAGCTTTCAAATTTAAACTGTGTATTACAGCACGTTAATCATCATTCATTAAAAAGTTGGTATATTTTATGAAAGCAAGATTGCTCAGTTGGACAAAAGTACACAACCTTCCTTTATCATAAATATTTTAATTATGCAGAAATATTTTATGCATCAAAGTCTTTACCGAAGATATTACTAATAGTATTAATAATGAATGACCTTGGACAAGCTGTAAACTCAAAGTATTATGCTGGTCCACATTCTTTGTAACCTTCTTTTAAAATGAAAATACTTTATTTGTTAATTGACAAAAAGTAACACCACAGTTATGTTCCTAAATTTCGTTGATCTAACAAACTAACAAGGAGTGTCAGCCAATCAGATTTCAGGACCGGAATTATCTGTTTTATAATAGGGAATATAATATGGAATCACGTATCTAAAGAAATTAATAATAATATTAATTTAAGGATCTAAATATCTAAATCTATGTATTTATATAGCTGGTAGTATTACTGTATTCCACTTTCTTTGTAAACACGTTTTGTTAACACCTGAACCTGAATTTTTTGTTATGGTCTGTAGCTCAAATCCTGCTTAACTAAAAATTAGATGCAAGAAGAGTATTATTGGACAATGTTGTGAGGCTCTGGCAGAATTTCTCTGTAAACTGAAGAGTTATAGAGGAGACACGTTGTGTATTGCCTCTTTTTACACTTGTAAAAAAACATTCCAATGTTAATGTGACACAGAAGATATTATTAATAATGTTGTGCTTTCGGGCTTGTGGTGTAGTGGTCGTTGCTGAAAAGATTTAATTATTTAATCTCTTTACTGTGCACATTTTAATCCGCTTAGTATTGAATATTTATATGGAATTTTACCACTAAAGGGCAATTTTAGTAGCTGAGCATAAAAAGAAGAGGAGCATAATGCATCTGAAGGTCATACATATTAATTTAGGAACATAAACATATTATGTAAACTGTACGTTGCTGGTATTGGTATTTTAAAGAAAAAATACACACCAATTTTCCATTTCTCCCTAAACATTTTAAGCATCAAAGTCTTACATGGGGTTATTTCAAAATGTTTTTACGTGTTCCTTCTGACCATATTACTGTATGTGTGTTGCTGTTTCAGTGCTTCTCATATGTCTTGCCTTGGTTGTGTGACATCTTAAGTGACTGATTTATAGTATAAGTGTGAGGTCAGGTGTTCAAATCCAGCAAGTGCTATGAGTTTTCTTTTAACAAACAAACATTTCTTTGAAAAACTAAAATAGCAAATATTATGGACACTACAGTATATTGACATTTTTTATATTTCTAAATATCACAACATGTTCGTAGTGTATGTACACAGCGGTACCGCAGGTTGTACTGTAGGGTGCAAATTGAAGTGAGCCCCAAAGCCTTACATTAATGTTATGCATTCACCTGGCACTGCGCGGTTTTCATCACTCTCTGCGGGAGTGCTGGCTGTGCCGAACTAAACCGGTTTCACAGGTATTTTCAACATAGAAGAGGGCGAGTCTTCCAGCGAAAGACACCTCCCCCCATGGACACAAGTTTTCTTAGAAAAACAGATTCATAGTGCGAAGTTGTGTCAGTCTTCTGTGTAAAAATATTTGGTTTGATCACCATTGGTGCTATTTTTAGTAAGCTTCTGAGTAAAGTATAGGAATCTTCCTGATGTCAGCAGTAGTGTGTATATAAAATTTAAAAAAACTTGCTGCTTACTCAAAGATTCTAAGATGATCACGAGGAAGTGTATTGCATGTCTAATGGTCTTACAAAAACTACAGTATGCTTAAGAGTTTTTAAACTGTTTTTTATTTTTCGGCACAGACAACTTTGCCTGCTAGAGCCCCACAATTCACATTCAACCACATCACAGATCACAGATCAGTCCCAGTGTATGAGATATTGCTGTTTGATCTTTGATCTGAGATTTAATAGAGAGCTTATATAAAATTTAAATAGTGAGAAAGCTATGCTTAAAGTGAATTAAGGAACTTAGAATGCAAAGATAATGATTTACATTGCGTTGTCAGATTGTGAACCAATAAAGGCATTTAATTAAAAATGGGGAAAATGGGGTTAGACCATTAGACATGCAATACACTTCCTCGTGATCATCTAAGAATTGTTGAGTAAGCTGCAAGTTTTTTTTATACATAGCATTCAGAAATTCATTCTATCTCATTTGTAATGAATTTGCTGGAACAGAAAACTACTGGGACAATGCTATAATTTAACTACAGGTAAACGGGTTATACTTAAGCAGGGACTACACAGAAACCTTGTGTAATTTATTTAATTGGAAACTTTTGCTAATCCAAATGGACTAAAGAGATTAAATCAAATATCACGTTATATTTTTGGCCAGCAGGGCAAAAAGACTTGACATTATTTATAAAACCAAATCACAACCTTTGATGTGCCTAATCTAGAAAAACATTGAAGGAAGCCATTTACACATTTGACACTTATTAGAATATTGTTTGTCAGATGCCTTAAATTAGAGAAGGTGAGTTAAGTTAGTGAATGTATTTGTTTCTAAAAGTTAACTCCTGAATACAGCTAACAACTTACTGTTGGTCTTGAGCCTGGCAGGCTCACTGTTTCGGCTGCCAGCTTGGTTTATAGCCTTGACAAAAAAAACATAACGTGTGCCACTCTGCAGCCCATGCACTGTGTAGTGGTTCTGTTTGATGTTGGGGACAATCATCCAGCTGTCAACAGAGTTGTATAAACCTGTAAAAAGCAAAGAAAAAAATTAGTGGGGATGAACTGTCAATTCACATTAAAAATTGTCCACCATTTTGGCAAAAGAAGATTATAACAGGTGAACACAGTACTGACTCATAGGTTGACAATTATAACTGTCCATAGACTTGTGAATGATAAAAAACTCACATTTCATCACTGTGAATAAAAAAATACATCTCTGCAAATGTGGACCAAAATAATGAAGATATTTTTTTTAGAATGTAGCTGTTATTTAACAATGTAGCAATGTAGTTTGAATATGATTTGTGGTGCGGCATACAGATCCAGCCATTCAGAATGCACACCAGATAATGCAGCACACTGTGCCATGCACCCCTCAAGTAACAGCAGCACTCTGTCCTTTTTAAAAATATATAATTTTGTTAGACTGCACTCCTGTGTAAAATGGCAGGTGGAGCATTTGGGCTGTCACCAGAAAATGCCAGGTTTCAAATCCTGGTCAATGAAACGTTCATAGACTGTAATGTAGCGCATAGTGCTCCAGTGGCAGTTTAGCTCACTGGTTTACATGGCTTCCTGCTACACAAAAACTAACTTGTTCAATTCCTAGACAGACCATTTCTTATTATTTTTACATAGCTGGATATATGTAAAAATTATTATGATAACTTGTTGTGAACAAGATATGCCTCTTTCAGGTTTACATCCACATTGAGAAAATGTATATTTTGTCTCAATCCAAATTTCAGCAACGGATAATCTGAAACAATTTAACTTTAAATTTGGATTATAAAAATGTATTTCACACATATTGTACTGTAGGGTCTTTAAAACCATACAGTACTGTAGCGGCGAGGCTTATTAATAAGACAGAATTAAGTGTTGCTGTGCTTTCCCAAATGAGGCCTCATCTCTCTCTTCATCTCTGTGGTGCAGCCACAGAGAAGCTATTCATGCAGGCTGATTTAAAGATGTTTTCTTTTGATAAGGGACAGCTCCCAAAGGGGGATGCACTTAGCTAAGCCTGGCTATCATGATCAATGGTCATCCATT